TGTTCGGCCACCATTTTCGAGAGGTGTTCTTCAATGGTCTTATTGAATCTTTCGACCATCCCATCAGACTGCGGATGTAAAGCTGTTGTCCTAGTCTTGTGAATACCAAGCAGATCACACATCTTCTGGAACAGTCTTGACTCGAAGTTCCTTCCTTGGTCAGTGTGAAGCTCTAAGGGAATTCCAAATCTACTGAAGACATTATTGACCAATACTTCAGCTACAGTCGATGCTTCTTGGTTTGGAATGGCAAAAACTTCTGGCCATTTACTGAAATAATCCATCGCTACTAAAACGTACTTGTTGCCCTTGTGCGTTTCAGGGAATGGGCCTGCAATGTCAACAGCGATTCTTTCGAATGGCAGTCCAACGTTATATTGTTTCATTTTTCCCCTAGAGCGAGTGCTTGGTCCTTGGCTGGCTGCACAAGTTTTACATTGTCGACACCATTTCTTGACATCTTCGCAATAATCCACCCAGTAAAAACGATCTCTCAGCTTGCTCAAGGTCTTGTTTACTCCAAGATGGGCTCCAGTTTTACCACCGTGAATTTCTTCCAATACCTGGGTAACTTTCTTCCTTGGTACCAGTAACTGAGTTGTTACTGTCCTGCCATCCGCACTCTCCCACGTGCGCTTTAACAATCCATTCTCAATAACCAGTGAATTCCACTGAGCCCAGAGCTTTTTGAAAACGAGCCCTCTGTCCGAATATCCTGCCACGGTGGTCTCTCGCCGTTACCTTCCTTGAGCCGTAGTATTGCTCCGATGTCTGGATCTTCCATTTGATCTTTCCTCAATTGTGTCGTCGTCCACTGTTCATCGGTTCCAAGTTTAAAACTCCTTATCATGACAGTGCCTTCACGTTGTTCCGTTTTACAGCAGTGCTTACAATCGGTTTGACAGGGTCTTCTGGATAAACCGTCTGCGTTACCATGCATTTTTCCAGCACGATGTTGGATGGTAAAGTGATACTGTTGGAGCTTCTCGAGCCATCGTGCTATTTGACCTTCAGGTTGTTTCATCTCCATAAGCCACTTGAGAGCCGCATGATCTGTCCTAATTAAAAATTCTTGGCCGTACAGATATTTATGAAAATGATCAACTGCCTTCACAATTGCTAGCAGCTCCTTCCGGGTAACGCAGTAATTCCTTTCTGGTTTGGATAGAACTCGACTGTAATATTCTATCACTCGTTCTTCGCCATCTTGCACTTGTGATAGCACTGCACCTATGCCGATATTGCTGGCGTCGGTATCCAGGATATACCTCCCTTGTTGTTGCGGGTAGGCTAGAATAGGACTTGAACATAAAGCCGCCTTAAGTCTTCCAAAGGCTACATCACAATCGGTGTTCCATTCGTAGCCGACTTCATCACCTGTAAGTCTATGTAAGGGTGCAGCTATATTGGCAAATCCCTTGACAAATCTTCTGTAATAGGTGCATAAACCCAGAAAACTTCTAAGTTCATGTTTGTCGCGAGGTTTAGGCCAATCCTTGATCTAGCGATTTTCTTCTGGTCGGTGTAAATTCCGTCTGCCGAGACTACATGACCCAAGAATTCCACTTGTCGCTGGAATAAGCTACACTTCTTCGGGTTCAAGTACAGGTGAGCATTCCGTATGCGGCCAAAGACTTCTTCTAAATTTCGCAAATGCTCCTCAAAAGTTCTTCCCATAACCAATACATCGTCGAGGTAAACCAAGCACGTTTTCCAAGTTAATCCTCTTAACACCACCTCCATGAGACGTTCGAAAGTGGCTGGAGCATTGCATAATCCAAACGGCATGACCTTGAATTGGTATAGTCCGTTTCCTGTAGAAAAAGCCGTCTTTTCTTTGTCTTCCTCGTCCAGACCAACTTGCCAGTATCCACTCTTTAAGTCGAGAGTGGAGAACCAGCACGAACCTGCCAGTGTGGTTAACGTGTCGTCTATACGTGGCAGTGGGTAGCTGTCCTTCTTAGTGACGTCATTGAGCTTCCGATAGTCCACGCAGAATCGTGTACTACCATCTTTCTTCGTCACCAAAACAACAGGAGATGACCATGGACTCGATGATTCTTCGATAACTCCATCTTCTAGCATCTTATCTACCATTGTCTCCATTTCTTGTTGTTTGGAAAGGGGCACCCTTCTAGGACGTTGTCGAATCGGCTGAGCATGACCAGTATTAATCCGGTGCTTCACAAAATCCGATCTTCCACTGTTGTTCTTCTCAAAAATACTGCCATACTTTAGCAGGAACTGCTTGGCCTTCTGTTTTTCCTCAGGTGTTAGGTGATCCCATGGCTGTTCTAGATGTTTTAGTGTTTCTTGGGATGCCTTTTGTGTAACAGCTGACGACACTTTATCACATCGGGTGACACTTCTTACAGGTTCGCAGATGGCTATCTTGTCACCTTTTTGGATCTTGACACAATTCGGGGAAAACATTCGCAATTCTGATCGGTATATTCTTGTCGGTGTTCACCAATGATTTTCCTACTAAGTACCTATCTTGTTTCTTGTCGCTACTTTGTACCATCCAACACAGCACCCAGCGATTTTCTCCACTTTACCGAATACGATCTTCTCGGTATTACCAGGTATCACCACAGTTTCCGCTGATCTTACATCCATTCTTCCTGGTCCCTCGTCTGGAGATAACATAAACTCTTCATTTCCGATATTCAGGATATTTCTCTGGTGATCGAACGAAAATCCATGTTGACGAATCACATCCATGCCCAAGATGAAGTCATCTTCAATATCTGCCACTAAAACGCTATGCTGGAACTTCAAATTTCCTAACTTCAGTTCGACGATAGCCTCTCCGTACAACGGCCATTTCCCCCGTAACTGTACGTAAACACACTCTTCTTCTCAGAGGCACCAGCTTCAATCCTTGCACTGAGTTAGCCCGCACCAACGAAACCATAGCGCCAGTGTCCACTGTCATTCGGATTCCCTTTCCATTGACTTTCCCGTCGATCACCAAACTGTCAGCGGTTCTTCCTAGATTTCTAATGGAAAAAATCCTTGGGGCTCTGTTCTCCCCAGTCAATACTCGCCCCTTAGTATTGACTGATTTTAGTTTTCCTGGTGCCTACGTTCTCTGGATGGTGAACGGGATCGCATTTGAACGCGGCAATACCGTTTAATGTGGCCATTCCTGCCACCTCTAAAGCACCTTATGTCCTGGAATCTTCTCTGGTTTTCTGTCTGGGTGTTGCTGACTCCCTTGTTTATTAGTAGCTCACATAGTTTGTCGACTTTCTTACACATCTCCTCCAAACCTCTGTGAGTGTTTTCGGGCTGTTCCTCGACCGCTACCGATCTTATCTTCGGTCTAGGGATGGCGCTAAAAGCAGCTTCGATTTCCAGCGCCCTGACCAGTGCTTCGCTGCTGGTAGAAAATCGGGATATTTGCAGCGCCCTCTCTAATTCGTTGTCCCTCAGTCCGCTGATAAAGCACTGAGCAGCGAGTTCCTCCCTAAATCCTTCCGGTGCTTCTGGATATGCCAGGTGTACCAGCCGACGTAAGTCTGCTTCAAATTCCTGCAGACTCTCTCCGGACCTCTGCAGGCGTGTCTTGATCTGTGCCTGGTAAAGTTGGCGTCGATGTTGGTCGCCATATCTTCTGTCCAGTGCAGCGACCAAAGTTTGATATTCCTGCTGTTGGCTGCAGGAATAGTTTGCAGGAGTTCCAGGGCAGGGCCACGCAGCGCGATGACAAGTGCCGCTGCTTTCTCCTGGTCAGTCCATCCATTGGCAGCAGCCGCTGCTTCAAACTGGCGGTGGTACATCGTCCAGGTGGTTTGTCCATCGTAGGTCGGGGCCTTGAGGTTCGCAGTTCCATGAACGCCAGGTGTTCTTACTTGTGCCTTGGTCTTCTGTAGGTCCATCTCTAATTTTTCCATTTTCTGCTGAAGGCGTTCCTCAAGATCTTCTACGGCTTCTTGAAGGTGATTTTCCTGCCGTTTTTCCAGGTCTTCAAAATTCTTCTGTAGTCGAAATTCCTGATTTTCCAAAGTTCTCTTAAGACGGTCCTGATCTTCTTGTCTTTCCCTGTGACGTCGCTCCTCCACACGAATTTCCAAATTTCCTAATATTTTCTCAAGCCGGTCCTGTTCTTCTTGTTTGTCTTGTTGTCGTTGTATTTTTAAATCTTCGAAAATTTTCTCAAGCCGGTCCTGTTCTTCTTGTTTGTCTTGTTGTCGTTGAATTTTTAAATCTTCGAAAATGTTCTCAAGCCGGTCCTGTTCTTGTTGACGTCGTAATTTTTCCTCTTCCTTTTCTCTTTCTAATTTCTCCATAAAATCGCCCAATAATTTGCTTACTTCCTCCATTTTCTTCGCTTGCTGTCTCGTACCAACCATAAAAATTCCCAAATTCGGTGTAAAAATCGTCCAATCCACTTAATTTCTTCTTAAAATCCTCTTGAATCGCACTTCCGACACCAATTGTTACGGATTCCGTGGGTCCACTAATTTAAACTCACGATAAAATACTTAACGAATTTATTTTCTCACTTTATACACAATTACTAACTTATAACACACAACAAACTAACTATTTATAAGATTCCTTCACCAAATTGTCCGATTTTCAATTTCCACGCGGTATATTCAAATTTCAAAAACTGTCTCAGTTGTCGATGGCTCCGGCTTATATACTCTATTGACTGCTTCTCGAAATTTCCCCAATTCTCGGAAAGCGTACTTCTTCATACCAGACAATTCCATTGTCTGATTCCCTTACTTCTCGACTTGACTAAAAGATGGCGCCTGAAAAAGTCTTTTAATTTCTGGCGGATACGTTGCGGTTGTGCAGGCAACCAGTAATACATTTTTAATTTCTGGCGGATACGCCATTTTTCTTGACAGTATCTTTACATATTGAGTAAGTTGTAAATAAAGGAAGTAGGTATTAACAGCAAATAGTAATTTTTGTTTAAAAATATATTTATTAGCATCTGTGGAAAGTAATATTTTGTAATATACTTATGAAAATATACTATGTAATGTTTTGTGTGTTTATTATAATACTTATATCACATACGATATTAGACCAGATAGTTATAAACATTATGTAAATATTTCATTAATAACCGTGTTGTATTAGCAAAATTTTAAGAGGTATTATAAAAACACTAGTTATTAAAATTGATGACCATATTATTTGCACTTGTACAATATATACATATATTTCTTAAGAAAAGTAATAAAATTAATTTAAAGTATACTTAACAGTATCACTAAATCTTATAGAGGTTATAATTTTATTAGTTAACCCATTAAAATTAGCTCTAAAACCTGAAGGCAGTGGTATAAGTTTGTAAATAAAGTATCCACCCAGACCTAACAATGAAATTCGAAATGAATACCGGATTATTTTAGAGGTCAAAGATGGAGGCGGTATTGTCATAATGTCTTGCATATATTGTCGTTGGTCATGATTCCAAAGTCTTATAATTCCTGGTATATGGCCCATTCCAAATACCCCAACAACTTTTAATGGCTCATCTGGTATTATTTCACCTAATGAAAAATAATAGAACATCATTTTATTAATTTGAGGCGTTCAAAAAATAAAACAATAAAATTCTTACCTGGTTTCGCGCTAGGCTTAATTCTTGCAGCTGCTTGTAAAGAATTTGTTAAATAAATATCTCTTTCATCTAGAAACACTTCGCGAAACGCCGGATACTCTCCTGCCAAATCAGCCAATAATTGTTCGAGCATATCACGATTTTTATACTTTTCTACTTCTTCTACGCTAAAAAAAATAATTAAAACAATTCAAAAGTGTTGGAGATTAGTCACCTGATTGATTCTTTTGTAGTTAATAGATGCCAAGCCAGCTTAAACGTTTGAAACCAAGTCAGTCGAGTTAACGCCCGTCTCATAGTGATACCGATAGGTCTATCCCCCAAATGGACATAGCAGTTTGGAATTTTTGACGCCTTAAATAAATTTTCTTTAGCTTTTAATACAAAGTTTTCATAAAATTACCTCTTTATAAGCTACTCGAAATTCCCCTCCCGGTGCCATTCCAATTTCTTTTGTTATATGAGCACTCATATTTAATAATAATATATACATTAGGCCATTAACCACTCCATTTGACTTGACAGTCGACAGAACTCTTGCAAAATCAATTTTTTTGGCTTCTTCCAATATAGTTTTTTCATCTAATTCTAAAATGCTTGTTCGGGAAGTACATAGCTCAACAACTACCAAATTAGGTTGAACATTTTGTACTACCTACAAGATTATTTGCATAATAGTTTATGATCATAAGTAGGTAAACCAACCAGTGAATGAATGTGACCCAGTTAATGAACAAAATAACTTTATCTTGCTCTAATAAGGTATACGTCCATTTGTTATCCTTTTTTATTTTAATATACACTGCGTAGTTTACGACTAACTTGCTAAAATTCAACCAGTTAATAAACGACATGTGCAAATCGCTGTTCAAAGTTGTGGTCTTACGTTGTAAGTCTTTTAAAGCGCCATTTTCTTTAGGGTAAGTAGATACATATCCTATTATTAATGATGGTATTTAATTGTTCATAAAATATAAAAGCTGGGCCGTGTGTGAGAATATATATTTCAACAATTCATCGTTATTAATCCAAAAGTAAAACATATATTATCTTTTAGGTTATATTTTCATTTAATGTGTTTAATAACTGGCGGGAAAAAAGTTCAAGTTCCAGTGAATGAACGGCTGTTCATTTACTGGTATTTTATTCGATTATCTGAAATTGCTTTAAAATGGCCCTTAAGCTTTGTTTACATATGTAAACTCATTAAAATACCTTAAATGTAATAAAAATAAATGCCATCCAGTAAATGAACAGGATTTTGAATCGTTTACTTACTGGATATTGTTCCTGTTCATTTACTAGATTAGGCATAAGACCTTTTTGCGAATGATTTCTGTCTATTATTATATTAGGATAAGTGGGCACTAGTTTTTGTTTTGGAGGTTTAATTTTTAGTGTTATAGTTTTATTAAAAGTATTCGGCGGTTACTAAAAATAAATATTTTTTGTTGGTACAGATGGAGCGGAAATACACTAGATTCAAATACTCCGAAGAGCAGTTGTCACTGGGTATCAGAGCAGTAGAATCAGGCCGCATGAACTTAAGCGATGCTGCTAGGCAGTATAATATTCCTAAATCAACTCTCCACAATAAAATTGTTGGAAAAGTGCCAAATGTCAGGAAGATGGGACCGCCACCTGTGTTAAGTAAAGAGAAAGAAACTCGTATAGAAAACTGGATCATTGCGAAAGCGAAGTTGGGGTTTCCAATGCATGCAAACGAGGTAAAAGACACAGTGCAGAAAATTTTAAAATGGTATGGTCAACAAAATGGGTAGAATTTCATCAAGAACAAGATAAAATAAAGCGTCAAAAAGAGGAAGACATTAAAAAAAGAAAACTCGATAGAGAAAGAAAGCGAAAGGAACAACAAGAACGAAAAAATAAGATCAGGCGACAGTACGAAATAAAGAGACCTAACAGAGACTTGAATGAAAACCTGTCACTTTTTGAATTGAAGCTAAAACAAGGACAAGAAAGAAAAACATGCAAAAAACAAGAGAAAAAGTCAGAAAAGCGGAAGCGCGATAAAGATCAGAAAATCGAGCAACAGTATACAAAACGGTTTAACAGAGACGGTTCTTCAAGTACGGATGAAAATCTGTCACTATTTGAATTGAAACTACAAGAACAAAAAAAGAAAACATACGAAAAACGAGAAAAAAGGTCAGAAATGAGGAAGCGTAATAATGCTCAAAAAATCGAAGAATCGGACGAAGAAGGAACTAAGAATAAAATTTACCCTAAATTGTCATCAATAAGTTTAGAAAAACCAACATCAAATTTTGACTTAAGTGTTCCTTTTCTTAAAGGTGATTATGTTCTGGTAAACTATGAGGGTTCACATTATCCTGACCTAATAAAGGCTGTTAAAAATAATGAATATAAAGTAAGTGCTCTCCATAGTACAAAAAAGAACACTTGGAAGTGGCCGTCACCACCTGATCAAATTTGGTATTACTCGGATAAAATTGTAAAAAAAATTGCTGCTCCAATACCTCATAGCGTTGAAGGGACTTTTGTTATTATTTTGTTATGTAAATGCAGTATAATGTTTTTTATATTATACTCTTACCTGTAACCAGCTTATGTTTATTTAAACTTGAATTTTTGTAAAGCTTAATTTAATAAATGCAACGTTCATTAACTGGTCTTTATGCGTTTATTCACTGACTTCTATCGTTCATTTACTAGATAATATTTCGCTTATTCGCCGAAAATAGAAATTTGTGAAAACGTATTATTTTATTTTTGTGTCCAGGTAATATTTTTTCAATTATAGATAGTTGCCTTTGTACCAGTTTTACCCCATATTATATAAAATAAAAAATCGTGATTTATTTAAAGTTAATACTTCGGTTAACTGTTCATTCACTGGTCGATTGACCCTATGTAATTTTTAATAAAACACTTTTTGTTTATTATAATTTTTTTAACCGCGCAATAATGCCCTCGTTCTTGTTGTTAATTTTGTGGTAATTTCTTTATCATTTTCTTTTCATTTATCATTGCACATTTTCACAATACAATGCATCGCTCAGTTCGGGTTATTTTTCATTTAATTTTCGCTACCCGAAACAGCGTTACATCACAAAACTTTCATACATGACAATATTATAGTTTCAATAACTGCACAGTATAAACCAAAATACTTGAATATTATGACAAAGCCACGATTTCAATATTATTTTAATATATCACCATGAATTGTAACCGGGACGGCGCCGGCGCACAGTGGGTCGATGTATACCGAAATATGGACATTTGCTTTTGTTTTAGAACTATTAGTCTGATTTGGATAATTTTGATTTTTTTAAGAGAAATGACCATTAAGTATTTAATTTTAGTCCCAAATTTGATTTTTCCAGGAACTCAAGATGGCGGCTTATACAGGGTGTCCCAGAAATAAATGCAAGTATTTTAACTGGTAGTATATTTCGGCCTCAGAAACACGCCTATGAGGTATTTTCTGCAAAAAAAAACTCTGAAAATTTGGATTTTTTTTTAGTTTTAAGTTAAAAAACATAGTTTCTTGATAATATGGCAATATAGGTAGTAGCTTAAATTTACATGAAAGAAAATCCAGAAAAGATCCAGTGGTTCCCAAAATTTTAGCAAACAATTATTTTTTTTTGGAAATTTTCAAAGTAAAATAACTCAGTTATTTTGGACTTATTTGAAAAACGGTAAAGAGAAAAATGTTTCTTTTGACCAGATCTACCACCCCTTAAAATACTTGCACTTATTTCTGGAACACCCTGTATACATATAATACTAAATACAGTATTTCCACAAGTATTTCATAATTGCATGGATGACTTTTAGCAACTTATTTGTTAGATATTTCTTACCTTATTATTATTAGATAACCACTAACTAACAATATTTCATTCGTTATATTTATTTTTTAGTAGAAAAATTGCCTGACATTAGCTATCAGTTAAAAAATATACAGGGTTGTTCACGCTATTCGACACGGAGTAGGGAATGCAATCCTGCACCAAAATCTCAATCCCACAAACCCGCGGGATTAAAGCAATCAATCCCGCGGATCCGCAACATTGCGGGACTGTAAACAATAGTCATACATTGGGTCCTAAATGGTACAAAAGGCATTGTACATTTTGCATAGGCCCACAATATATTGATATAGCGTGTATCTTAAACTAGCTGTGCAGAAATTTGGACCGATGTGTACAGAGTGTTCAAAAAATATATTTAATATTAAATAAACTTACATTTTATTATAATTTATGTACCATTTAGGACAATACGTATGACTAAAAAAGCATTTTTTTCGAAAAAATATCGTATTTTCCTTAAAACAAAAAAAAAATAAAAAAACGATCAAATTGTTTTTTGTAATTTCAATACAGATTAGTCGTACTTGGTAAAAATTTCGATTTTTTAAAAATTGTAAATTTGCGGTAAAAAAGATTCTTGAACAAATTTTCACACTCTTATAAAACACCCTGTATACAAGAATTCACTAAATATATTTTCGAAAACCACATAGCATCTTAATCACAATAGATGCATCTAAAATGTGGTCCAAACCGCATCCCAAAATCTTTTTTAGTTCAAGAGATATTCAACTTTAAATTTACCCTAAAATTTTGTTTGGCCCGATAATTATGTCCGGCAGTTTATTTGACGAAATTGTAAAAGTACTTTACTTAGAAACTGTAAAAGTTGAAGTACTAGTTAACCGCTTTTCTTCACTTACGCACATACGCCAGAACGAGAAAGAAATCTAACAACTAACCTGTTTGTTTCACTTATTTTTAATGGTCAAGCCATAAGGGGAATAACCCGGGTTCGGAGCGTCGACGCATCGGCCCGGAGCGAAGCGGTTTTATCTTGACTGAGATCGATTCGGTTAGTAATGTGTCGATCCCGCAGATCCCGCACCGTAAATCCCGCAACTTTGATCCCGCGGAATCTCAGAGGGATCCCGCATTTGCGGGATTGCATTCCCTAACACGGAGTATTGTAGCCAAATGTTTAGATTTGTGGAAATTATGGGTAATGGGATTGTTGATGGATCACTAAAGTTATACTTTAAAATTATTTGCAAAACCTACAGAGTATCCCAAATTAATAAAAAATATCAAAGTTGTATTTTTTTAAACTGAACACCCTGTATATTACTATATTTTTAGTTTTTACGATTAAAATAAACTTAATTTAATTAAAGTTTCCGCACTTAAATCTTTCCGTTTTTGAAATATTTACGATTTTGTGAAAAAGCACTAACAATTTTAATGCCTTATTTCTCTAGGCATATTTATGTTTTTAAAACCAAATATTGTACTGAAGTTTTTGTATTTATTACATTTTGTGTTGCAATAATATAAATAATACTACCTCATATATGTTTATATACAGGGTGTTTCAAAACAAATGCGAAACACTTCAGGGGGTGATTCGTTGTTCAAAATAAAGGGTAGTTTGCTTCATAAACGTTGGGTCAAAAGTCAACCATTAGGGAGATATCGCGGTACAAAGATGGCGGAAAAATAATGTTTTTATTTTTTATCTTGAAAACGAAAAGAGATAGACTAATGAAATTTTACGGAAGCTGAATGTTATGAAAACACACTTTCTAGTAATTTTTTCACTTTTTTAAAATGAATGGAAGGGGTTGAAATA